TTGATATTCTTATAGTATCCATAATGCCCAAAGCTGGGATTACAGGTGTGGGCCACCATGCCCAGATAATTTTTTTATTTTTAGTAGAGATATGGTTACACCACGTTGGCCAGGCTGGTCTCAAACCCCTGACCTCAAGTGCTCCACCTGCCTCGGCCTCCCAAAGTGTGGGATTCCAGGCACAAGCCACCATGCCAGCCTTTTATATAAGTTTTCTTTTTTAAAAGGGTCCTGGTCAGGCCAGTTGACAAGCCCCAGGCCCCTTGAGTCTCATCTACTTCCATTGTGTGGCAGCAGTTTCAGTCCCTTCCCTGTTCCCCAGGAGCAGGAGTGAGCACACCTCTCCTTTCCCTGCCCCAGGTCCTCCAGCCCCACCTCACCTCCTCCCAAGGCCACCCTCCTGGCATGCCCACTCCAGTGCCTGGGACCTAGGGGAGGAGAGGCAGCTGGGTGGTGTCCTGCCTGCAGCATACAGATGACGCCAGTGGCCACCTGGAACACGGCACTCACAGTATCTGACACATCAAACACAGCTTCCTTGTCCTGGGAGGCACATGGCAGCAGGTGAGGGCCTAGTATCCCCCTGGCACCCGGGGTCTTCACAGCCCCACCCCCACTGAGGCATCCTCACTGCCTTCCATGGGAAGAACACAGTACCCCAAGGAAGGAAGGGCAGAGAGCTCCAAGAGCAGCCACGGATGGGGCTGTGTGTACAGGATGGGAGGATGTTTGGCAATCCTGGGGGACCCCTCCCTGCCTGGGTGTGCCAGAGCCCCAAGAACTGGCACATGGTATGTAGGCAGCAGGCCTCCACCGGCCTCACACCTGTAAGTCTTTGTTGTAGGTGCCAGAAGTCCCTTGAGGGTCATTAGGAGCCTGGCACACTACGGGAAGAGGGAGGGACAGGAGCTGGACCCAGGATCCTGCCTCCTGGCCGCCAACCCCTATAAGCACAGAGAGCCCGCCCCTCTCCCTGCCCTGCTCACCCGCCCAAACATATGCCCCACGGTGGTTTTTCTTCTGGAGTATCAGGCTGCTTCCGGTGCTGGGGACAGAGGTGTGGACACTGAAGGTGCTGGACCCTTGGCTGGTCCAGCAGGGCACTGGCCAGATCAGGCAGAAAGGTGGGGCGGAGAGGAGGGAAGCTGCACGTGGTGGGTGGGGAATACAGAGGCCAGGAGGGGCAGGAGGTGGCAGCTCAGGGCTTCCCAGCTCAGGGCTTACCTGTAGGCATCCGAGAGCTGCACGAAGCTGAATTCCTTGGTGCTGTAGAGGATGAGGTCCTTGGCCATCCTGCTGAGATGGGTCATGCACAGCGAAGCCCAGAACAGGAACTTAACTGGGAAAGAGAAAAGGTTCCCAGTCACCAGGCCTCTCCCATCCCCACCCACACAGGGAGTAGGAGGAGGTTAGGCAGTTGGGGGACCCGGCTACATTCTCTTCTGTTTTTTGTGGTAGACAAAGTCATGTTTAGTCGCCAGGCTGAAGAGCAGTAGTGTGATCTCAGCTCACCGCAGTCTCCACCTCCCAGGTTCAAGCAATTCTCCTGCCTCAGCCTCCTGAGTAGCTGGGACTACAGGTGCTCACCACCATGCCCAGCTAATTTTTCTATTTTTAGTAGAGACAGGGTTTCACCATGTTGGCCAGGATGGTCTCGATCTCCTGACCTCTTGATCTGCCCGACTCAGCCTCCCAAAGTGCTAGGATGAGAGGCGTGAGTCACTGCGCCCAACCTAAATTTTCATTTGTTGTAAAGATGGGATCTTGCTATGTCACCCAGGCTGGTCTGAAACTCCTGGGCTCAAGTAATCTTCCTGCCTTGGCCTCCCAAAGTGCTGGGATTACAAATGTGAGCCACTACACCTAGGCTGTTTTCTGTTATTGTTGTTGTTTTAAATAAACCAGCTTTACTGAGATACCACTCACACACAAATTACCCATTTATTTATTTATTTGTAATTTTATTTTTATTTTTTCTGAGATGGAGTCTTGCTCTATCCCCTAAGCTGAAATGCAGTGGCGCGATCTTGGCTCACTGTAACCTCTGCCTCCCAGTTCAAGCAATTCTCCTGCCTCAGCCTCCCGAGTAGCTGGGACTACAGGCGCACACTGCCACGCCCAGCTAATTTTTTTTTTTTTTTTAATCTTAGTAGAGATGAGGTTTCACTGTGTTGTCCAGGCTGGTCTTGAACTCCTGAGCTCAGGCAATCCCCCCACCTCGGCCTCCCAAAGTGCTAGGATTACAGGCGTGAGCCACCGTGCCTGGTCTTATTTATTTATTTTTATTTTATTTTTTGAGATGGAGTTTCGCTCTTGTTGCCCAGGCTGGAGTGCATTAGCGTGATCTTGGCTCACTGCAGCCTTGGGATGACAGGCACCCGACACCACACCAGGCTAAATTTTGTATTCTTAGTAGAGACAGGGATTCACCATGTTGGCCAGTGCTGGGATTACAGGCGTCAGCCACCGTTCCCTGCCCAATTTACCCATTTAAAGTTTACACTTTAATGTACAACCATCACCACAGCCAGCCTGAACATACAAAAGTGGGAGGAAACTAGAGAGAATCCAGGCTTGGGGACAAAAGTAAGGCACAGGGCAGGGGACTCTCTCCCCAAGACTCACCCACAGTCACGCTCACTGGTGGCATCCGTGCTGCTTAGAGTCATGGCCCCAGAGTTGAGTTGTGGGGGTGGGAGGAAGCGGGGATGGGCTGTAGCACAGGGAGTGACCACCTCTTCCCCAACCAGGTTGCCCAGGTCCCTCCCCCTGGAAAGAGGATCAGAGAAGAGGATCAGGGCAGGGTGGAGCTGGGGGGAGGGATCTTTTGCACAGTCCCAGGAGGGAGGCAAGAGCCCTGAGTCTCTCAGTACCAGGCACCCCTGCCATGGGGACCCCTGGCCTGGATGACCTCAGTGCCTGCAGGCAATGAATGAGGTTTCACTAGGGGCCACAGGCCCCTGCCCTCTGGTCTCATGTGTGTCTGCAGGTCCTGGCGGGTGCTGACAGTGACTCTCCCTGGGGAGGAGGGGCAGGGCATCTCACCTCCTTGGAGCAGCTCTTGGTCCACACCCAGGAGATTGCCCGAAATACACACACAAACACACACACACACAACCCAGTCCTGGTTGCCAGGGCAACCGCCTGGAGCTCAGCCTCTTCCCTGGCCCAGTTGCCTTGGGTACACACTTATCCCTAAGCACCGAGTTGCCTGGGTGCAGGACACTCACTCACCTCCCCAGGGCAGGACACGGATCCGCTTCCATTATCTCCAGCAACCGCTCAGAGTCTCGGGTCAGCACCACGGTGTGGCTGTGGGAAGCTAGTGGCAGGAGGGTCAGGGCAGCCATGGTCCTCCCCTCCAGCATAGCCCCTGCACCTCACCCGGCTCACCTCAGAATTCAGTGGCTCCAGCAAATGGGCTGGTCCCTCTGCAGGTGGGGGTATCCCGAGAAAGAGAAGAGGGTGTCTCGTTCCCTGTGGGAGAGGAGGAGCGGGGCTTGGGTGGAAGCTGGGGCAAAGCCTGCCAGTGACAGTGGGACCCTGCAGGCCTGGGTCAGCCTGGGAAGAAGGGTTGCTCTGCAACATTGCACCTGAATGAGAGATCCAGGATCTCCCAGGGACAAATCGCTCTTAAGGGAAAAAGAGGCCGGAAGTGGGGCCATGTGAACCAAGGACTGGCCTGAGCTGCGGGGCCTCCTGGGGTGAGGCTTTGCCAGGAACACGCAAAGCCTGAGCCTCTGTCACTCGGCATCTCTGAGCGGGGGCAGAACAGGGGAGGAGGCCTGTGTTGGGTATGACTTGGCCAGGGGAGGTTTTGTTTGAGGACCTCAGAAATAGCTGGGGTGCTGGGCGCAGTGGCTTATGCCTTTAATCCCAGCACTTTGAGAGACTGAGGCAGGCAGATCACTTGAGGTCAGGAGTTCAAGACCAGCCTGACCAATACAGTGAAACCCAGTCTCTCTCTACTAAAAATACAAAAATTAGCCAGGTCTGGTGGCACGTGCCAGCTACTCAGGAGGCTGAGACAGGAACTGCTTGAACCCAGAGGCAGAGGTTGCAGTGAGCCAAGATTGTGCCACTGCACTCCAGCCTGGGCAACAAAGTGAGACTCTGTCTTAAAATAAAAATATATCGCTGGGATTCACACAAGAGCTCCTCCCACCCTGCTCACCCCTGCCACCTAGGTCTGCTGTTCAGGCTGCCATCACACCACTTTCTGCCCCCTGAGTGTCCCTGGGGGACTTACGCCTCTGCCCGAAAAACCATGGTCCTGATGAGCTCCCACAGGAGGCCTGAGAGTGTGGAGCAGGTCTGCCGCATCCACAGCCTGAAGTCCATGGCATGTTGCCTCCCTGGGGAGCCAGGACCGCTGCTGAGCTTTAACTGCCCCCTGGGGGGACAGTTAAAGTCCAAGGTTGGGACAGCACGGAGCAGGGGGGTGGAGGCGCAAGAGGCATCTGGTCATTCCGGAAGCATCCCGTGTGCACCTTTCCTGTGGTTTCGCCAGTGAGCTCCTGGAGGTGAAGGGAGGCCCAGGGTCGTGGTCTATGTGCCCAGAGGGGTCGACCCAGGCAGGGCAGGTACCTTCCTGCCTCAGCAGAGCTGACCTCAGGATGTCTAAAGTGTCCCCTCCTCCTAATCCCCGAGCTCAGCTCTATGGCAGCGCATGCCGCTCTGGCCAGACTGGCTGGACAAGTGTCTGGATGGCTCATGCCTGTAATCAGTGCTTTGGAAGGTCAACATAAGAGGATGGCTTGAGGCCAGGAGTTCGAGGCCAGCCTGGGCAACGTAGTGAGACCCTATATCTACAAAGAAAGAAAAGAAAAGAAAAGAAAAGAAAAGAAAAGAAAAGAAAAGAAAAGAAAAGAAAAGAGAAAAGAAAAGAAAAATTTTTTTTTTTTTTTTTTTTTAATTAGCCAGGCGTGGGGACCCCAGCTAACTAACTTGCAAGGCTGGGGTGGGAGGATCGTTTGAGCTCAGAAGTTAGGATGGCGCCACTGCGCTACAGCCTGGGTGACAGGACCAAACCCAGCCTCAAACAAATTTTAAAAATTAAAAGTAAACAGTAAAAACAAGGACACTGTCCGGTCTCAGCCTTGGCCTCCAGAGGGGACTCAGCTGGAGCTGAGCTCCTCCCACCTCCTCCGCTCGGTCCCCAGTCCTCCAATCCCGAACCCCCAAGCCCCTTCACCTTAAACCGGTGGGGCCCCCAACTGCGGGATGCCCGGGGAAGGAGCCTGCCGGGGGCCCGGACTCCCCAACTCATTCCGCCGGGCTTCCGGGCACCTCCAGGTCCTGCCCCGGACCCTAACCTTCCGCAGTGGCCACCGCTATTCCTTGAAGCCCCGGCGCGGGTTGTCGGAGAAGTCGGCGCGGAAGCTCCAGAGGCCGTCCAGCTCCTTGCACTCCTGTGACAGGCTCTCCCGGGGGGACAGCATCCCGCCCTGCGGCGCCAGCGCGCAGCCTCACAACAGCGGCCCAAGCGCCGCCCTGGCCACCACCGGCCCCAGGTCCGGCTTCCCGCTCCGCCGCTCGGCCTCCAACTGCCCAGCTAAGAGCAGCGCAGTAGGAGCCCGGCGGGCGGGTCGCGTGACGTACTGATGCCGTCCGCGCCATCTTGGTTGAGGGGGAGTGCCAGGCCTCGGGGGGTTGGGCGGGTCCGGGCGCTGCCCATTGGGGCGGCGGCTGGGAACCCCGGCCTAGGTCTTTGGGGAAGCGGGACCCTCAGTCCCAGCCAAGAAGGGCGAGGTCTGCTCCCCACCCCGCCCCAGGGTGGATGATCCAGGGCCGCAGGCCAGGACAGAGCCCCTGAGATGGGTGGGATTCCGCGGTTTCTTCAAGGAGCACCTCCACTGGCTTTCCGGAGCCGGACTCTCAGCAGGCCCCAGCGGAGCCTCTGCCTTGCCTGTCGGGTGCAGCCCCTTGCAGGGATGCATGTCCTTGGGATGCGGCCATAGCCTTGACCCTGGGCCTCTGGGGCCTCGACCCTAACCCAGCGGCCAGGAGCTGTCTCTTGGCATTGCAGGCGCATAAAGATGTAGGGAGAGAGACTGGGCGCCTGTAATCCCAGCACTTTGGGAGGCCAAGGTGGAAGGATCACTTGAAGCCAGGAGTTCGAGACCAGCCTGGCCAACATGGCGAAACCCCGTCTCTACTAAAAAATACCAAAAAACCCCCACAAATAAATAAATAGCCGGGCGTGGTGGCTGGCGCCTGTAATCCCAGCTACTAGGGAGACTGAGGCTGGAAAATCGCTTGAACCTGGGAGACGAAGGTTGCAGTGAGCAGAGATCGTGCCACTGCACTCCAGCCTGGGAGACACAGCAAAACTCTGTCTCAAAAAAAAAAAAAAAAAAAAAAAAAAAAAAAAATCTGTCTAAAAAAAAAAAAAAAAAGAAAAGAAAGAAAGAAAAAGTTGCAGGGAGAGGGTGATCTGCGGGACTCCACTTTACTCCAGTAGGGAAGGTACCATGTGGGAGAGGTAGAGGAGAAGATCTGGAGACAGCAAAGGAGACATAGGTTTACTGAAGGGACTTTCATACAGGGAAGGTGCCATGGCTGTGTCTGGACGTGAGAACCACTACCATTTGTAAAAAGCATGCAGCTTGCATAGCATGTTCACCTAGCATCCTCCACCTGTTGCCGGTGGGAAGCATCTGAGTTCCCTGTGGTGAATCTGTACACATCTGCAACAACCTCAGTTCTTTCCTCCTTGGAAGAAAGAATTCGACTGAGGGTCATCAGGCAGAAAGCCAGATGGAGGCAAGTGGCAGAGCAGGAGTAACAGTTTATTAAAAAGCAGACCGGGGCTGGGCATGGTGGCTCATGCCTGTAATCCCAGCACTTTGGGAGGCCGAGGCGGACAGATCACCAGGTCAAGAGATCAAGACTATCCTGGCCAACATGGTGAAACCCCATCTCTACTAAAAATACAAAAAGTAGCTGGGCGTGGTGGCAGGCACCTCCCCAGGTACTTGGGAGGCTGAGGAGAGAGAATTGCTTGAACCCATGAGTCCAAGTTGCGGTGAGCCGAAATGGCGCCATTGCACTCCAGCCTGGACAAGAGCAAAACTCCATCTCAAAAAAAACAAAAAAACAACAACAAAAAAAGATAGGCTGATCAAAGACTCAAAAGAATGCAACCATTTGTCTCTTATCTACCCACACCTTTAAAAAATGTCTTCCTCTTTCCCTAATATCTCTCCTTTCTCCTTTAAATATTGAACCCCTCAAAATAATATCTGGAGAAAGACACAGACCTGCCTGCCAGGCATGCATCCTTAATGTTGGCAAAATAAACTTTCTTTTTTTGAGATGGAGTCTTATTCACTCTGTCACCCAGACTGGAGTGCAGTGGTGTGATCTTGGCTCACTGCAACTTCACCTTCCAGGTTCAAGCGGTTCTCCTGCCTCAGCCCCCTGAGTAGCTGGGATTACGGCTAATCTTTGTATTTTTTGAAGAGATGGGGTTTCACCTTGTTGGCCAGGCTGATCTCAAACTCCTGGCCTCAGCCTCCCAAAGTACTGAGATTACAGGCATGAGCCATGGCACCCAGCCCAAAATAAATTGTCTAAATCGATCAAGACCTGTCTCCGATATTTTTCGGTTATCCCTTCTGCTATGATTGGAAGCTTCCTGAGGCCTCACCAGAAACAAATGCCAACACTATGCTTCCTGTACAGCCTGCAGAACCATTAGCAAATACATCTCTTTTCTTTATAAATTACCCAGTTCCAGGTATTCTTTGAGTGCAATGAAGAAAGGACTAATACAAAGAGACTCAAGATTTCCCATTATTTGGGTAGGCACAGTGGCTCATGCCTGTAATCCCAGCACTTTGGGAGGCCGAGATAGGCAGACTGTTTGAGGCTGGGAGTTCAAGACCATGGCAAAACCCCATTGCTACTGAAAATACAAAAATACTAAGTACTAAATACTAAATACAAAAATACTAAATACTAAAATGCAAAAATTAAGGCTAGGCATGGTGGCTAACACCTGTAATCTCAACACTTTGGGAGGTCAAGCTGGGGGGATCACTTGAGGACAGGAATTTGAGACCAGCCCATGACCCCACTCTACAAAAAATAAAATCAAGTCCGGGCGTGGTGGCTAACGCCTGCAATCCCAGCACTTTGGGAGGCTGAGGCAGGTGGATCCTGAGGTCAGGAGTTTGAAATCAGCTTGGCCAATATGGTGAAACCCTGTCTCTATGAAAAATACAAAAAAAAAAAAAAATAGCTGGGTGTGGTGGCATGTGCCTGTAGTCCCAGCTACTCAGGACGCTGAGGCAGAAGAATCACTTGAACTTGGGGGTCGGAGGTTACAGAGAGCTGAGATAGCGCCATACATAGGACTTCAGCCTGGGCAACAGCGAGATTCCAGCTGAAAAAATTAATTAATTAATTAAATAGGCTGGGTGCAGTGGCTCACACCTGTAATCCCAGAACTTTGGGAAACCAAGGCAGGCAGATCACCTGAGGTCAGGAGTTCAAGACCAGCCTAACCAACACGGTGAAACCCCATCACTACTAATACCAAAATTAGCCAGGTGTGGTGGTGCATGCCCAGAATCCTAGCACTTTGAGAGGCCGAGGCAGGCAGATCACTTGAGGCCAGGAGTTCAACACTAGCCTGGACAACATGCAAAACCCCCTTTCTACTAAAAATACAAAAATTAGCCAGGCATGGTGGCACACTCCTGGAGTCCCACCTACTCGGGAGGCTGAGGCATTAGAATAGTTTGAACCCAGGAGGCAGAAGGTTGCAGTGAACCGAGATCACACCACAGCACTCCAGCCTGGGCAACAGAGCAAGACTCTGTCTCCAAGAAAAAAAAAACTGGAAAGGGGTCCTCTTAGCATCTCTTCTGGTGACCCATTTTCAGAGTTTCACTCTCTTGCCCAGGCTGGAGTGCAATGACACAGTCACTATAACCTCGAACTCCTTGGCTTAAGCAATCCTCCTGCCACACCCAACTAATTTTTAGAAATGCTCATTTTAGAAATGGGATCTCATTGCCAAGCGCAGTGGATCACACTTGTAATCCCAGCACTTTGGGAAGCTGAGGCGGGAGGATCATCTGAGATCAGGAGTTCAACACCAGCCTGACCAACATAGTGAAACCTTGTCTCTACTAAAAAATACAAAATTAGCCAGCCATGGGGACATGCGCCTGTAATCTCAGCCACTTAGGAGGCTGAGGCAGAAGAATCACTTGAACCCAGGAGGCAGAGGTTGCAGTAAGCCAAACTTGTGCCGTTGCATTCCAGCCTGGGCAACAAGACCAAAACTCTGTCAGAAAGAAAGAAAGAAAGAGAGAGAGAGAGAGAGGGAGGGAGGGAGGGAGGGAAAAAGGAAGGAAGGAAGGAGAGAAGGAGAGAAGAAAGAAAGAAAGAAGGAAAGAAAGAAAGGAGAAAGAAAGAAAGAAAAAGGGAAGGAAGGAAGGAAGGAAGAAATGGAGTCTCAGTATGTTGCTTAGTCTGGTCTCAAACTTCTGGGCTCAAACAATCTTTCTACCTCAGTCTCCCAAGTAGCTGGGACTCCAGGCATGTGTCACCACACGTGGCTAAGTTTTGTAATTATTGTAATTTTTTTTATTTTTAGAGTGATTTTTTTTTTTTTTTTTTGAGATGGAGCCCTACTCTGTTGCCAGGCTGGAGTGCAGCGGCATGATCTCGGCTCACTGCACCCTCCACCTCCCTGGTTCAAGCGATTCTCCTGCCTCAACTACCTGAGTAGCTGAGACTACAGGCACGCACCACCATGCCCAGCTAATTTTTGTATTTTTCGTAGAGACAGTGTTTCACCATGTTGACCAGGATGGTCTCGATCTCTTGAACTTGTGATCTGAGATCTTTGGCCTCCCAAAGTGCTGGGATTACAAGCATGAGCCACCCTGCCCGGCCTGTTTCCAGTCTTTATAACATTAGGGTCTGATGGATTTATTGGTCCCAGTTCCCAGGAACGGGGTAAGCAGAATACTTGCTTTTTGTTTTTAATTATCTTTTTTTGGCTGGGCGTAGTGGCTTACACTGGTAATCTCAGTAGTTTGGGAGACTGAGGCGGGTGGACTGCTTGAGCTCAGGAGTTCAAAACCAGTGTAGGCAACATAGCAAAAAAGCATCTCTACAAAAAATACAAAATTAGCCTGGCGTGGTGGCACATACCTGTAGTCCCAGCTACTCAGGAGGCTGAATGGGAAGATCGCTCGAGCATGGGAGGTTGAGGCTGCAGTGAGCTATCATTGCACCACTGCACTCCAGCCTGGGGGCCAGAGCAAGACCCTGCCTCAAAAAAAAAAAATATTGGCCATAGAGGAGAAATAACATTTGAAGGCAGGGTGCGGTGGCTCACACCTGCAATCCTAGTACTTTGGGAGGCTGACTCGGGTGGATCACCTGAGGTCAGGAGTTCAAGACCGGCTTGGCCAACAGGGCAAAACTCCGACTCTACTACAAATACAAAAAATTACCTGGGCGTGGTGGCGTGCACCTAAATTCACAGCTACTCGGGAGGCGGAGTCAGGGGAATCACTTGACCCCAGAGGCAGAGGTTGCAGTGAACCGAGATCACACCACAGAGTGAGAGTCTGTCTGAAAAAAAAATAAAGAAAGAAAGAAAAGAAAAGAAAAAAAGAAGGCCAGGCATAGTGGCTTATGCCGGTAATCCCAGAAATTTGGGAGACTGAAGCAGGCAGATCACCTGAGGTCAGGAGTTCAAGACCAACCTGACCAACATGGTGAAACCCCATCTCTACTAAAAATACAAAATTAGCTGGGCATGATGGCAAGCACCTGTAATGCCAGCTACTCAGGAGGCTGGGAAAGGAGAATTGCTTGAACCCGGGAGACGGAGGTTGCAGTGAGCCGAGATCGCGCCATTGCACTCCAGCCTGGGCAACAAGAGTGAAACTCCAAGTCACAAAAAAAGAGAGAGAGAGAAAAGAAATAACATTTGTTACATATGGACCCAGAAGCTAATGTGTGTAAAGTACTTCCAGTCATCAGAGAAGTACGATTGTAAGCATGTAGTTCCATCCTTGTTGAT